ACAACTAATTTATCCTTTGAGATAAGGAATCCATTTCAAGAATGTTATACATATGTGTGAGCCCAATGAAAAGATCAATCCTTTAGGATAACCCTATTTCATGATATACTGGTAGTTGTAAAACTAAATACGTTTCTCTTCAAACGACTTGCACGCAAAGTTTAATTTAAAAGTAAATCCTCGATGTCAAATTAAAGTTTTAAGTTGCTCTACCCCTTTAACATGAAAAGAAGAAAAAACAAACCGTCCTTATTTTCTTTCACAAAAGCGAAATACAATTCAACCAAACAATGTCATGACTATTATAATACCGATATGTAATTAATTTAGGGAGAACAAACTTCTGATTTTATCACAAAAATTCTTTCTTTCTTCCTGATTTTATCAAAAAACTGACCTGAAATTAAAAAAAAATCCTCCTTGTTTTTATAAATAAGGAAACCATTTAAATTTGCAAGTATGGATATGGAGAATACAGAAAATGTGAGAAATATTTCCGTCAATGAATTAACTTCCTGAACAATAACGCCTATGCAAATAATGCAGTCATTGTTTCAAGAAGTATGCTTTGACTTAAAGTGACTGCCAGTTGTAAACTTTCGGAGGGTAGCTCGATCAATAAAAGCTTTGATAATGTTTCATCAATGAATGCTTGTTTCTCGGGCTGATGTGGGGTAACTCGGGTTTATATCCATTGTTATATGATATTCTCTATATATGATGTGTAATTTAAGTAAAATACCACATGACCCTTGAAGAGATGGACGAAATATTGTGTTGTTACTTATGCATAAAAAATTGATGACTTGCGATATAAGAGAACTAATGTCCTCCACTGTTTCCTTAACAGAGTAAATGTGAATTAGCGGTGGTAACAGAACACAGGTTATCACCAAGATACTACAAGTACTTGGACGGTTTAGATTATAATTATTGTTACTTAGTAAGTGTGAACCCCAAACAGGAATTGAATTACATAGAATATAAGGTATCGCTATCTTATTGAAAAAGTACTACATGTTAAGTGTCAAAGAAATATCATCAAGAATCATTGCTATCATTGGGTCGCATTTTTTGTTGACTTGTTTCATATCAATCGTTAGGCCTTTGTTTTTAGACTAACTTTGACTACGGAATGTATCCTTGATCAATACATAAGGCTCACGGCGGATGTGACCGGTCAACAAAGGATGCTTACTCCTCCTAGGCACCTGATCCCACCTCTGGAGTTCCGGGGGTCCGTTTTTAAATATTTGTATTGCTTGTTGATTTTTTTTCTTAAGATCGATCGCTGTTCGTTATCTTCATGCTGAAGAATTTAAGAATAATACCAGTGAGGAAATATATGTTGTGGGGGCATATCTAAAAGCGGAAAATAATATTGAAAGGTATAGAGATGAAATATCAATGTTGCAGGTTTTTTTTTAAACCACTCAAGGTATGGCCATGCTGTTAATAGCTTACTGCGCTATCATGCAACAGACAGACTTAAGTCAAAATTTCAACTGTCCATTAAGTGTTGACTTAAACAATAATTGAATGAAAGCCGTTCGTGTTTCATTTTTTATGCCCCAGTAATCGAAGATTCGGGGGTATATAGTTTTTGCCCTGTTCGTCCATTTGTCCATCTGTTTGTTTGTCTGCAAAAACTTAAGCATTTCCCATAATTTTTGATTGGTTGGAGGTATGGCTTTCGTATTTCACATGTGTTTTTCTTGTGACAAGACCTTTATTTGGGTACCAATATATTTGACCTCTTGGCCTTCACCTTGGAGTTTGACCACTTTGCCAAAAAAAACCCACTGACTTTAACCTTGGAAATAACTTTTGAACAGTTATTGCAAAGGCTTTCATACTTCACATGTGAATTCATTGTGAAAGATTTTTTACCTATTGATCTTGACCTTAGAGTTTGACCCACTTTTAAACAACTTAAATCTTGGCCATAACTTTTGAAAGGTTGGTGCTTGTGCTTTCATATTTCACAGGTGTATTTATTGAGACAAGTTCTTTCTTTGGGTAATAACATTTTTGATTTCTTGACCCTGACATGCATTTGAAAAACAAAAACTTTCGATATAAGCTGCCATACGGGGGCATCAGTATTTCACAAACACATCTTGTTTTAGTCTATTAAAACCTCTACCAGTAAAGTTTTTATACTTGAATACATGTTCTTATATATGTCTGCAAACTTTCCATGTAGGATTTATGTGCCCAGTTGATTTGATACGCAAGAGCATGCTCTACGTACGAACAATTTCAACATTCTCGTTTAAAGTTATCATTTCGCAAGTTCTATGGTGGATACGATGACCTTGTCAGCAAAAACAATCTATCATTAAGTCGAATGCTAATTGATGTATTAGGCCATTATTTAAACATCGAATTGTCTACGGATTTTCCATTTACCCGATCGTGACAATGAGCACATGGCGGGTGTTACCGGTCGACAGGGGATGCTTATTCCTCCATGGCACCTGATCCCACCATTGATTTTTTTAGAGGTCTGTGTTTGCTCTGCCCTCGATTTGTATTGTTTCATTGAACTTTTGAGCTTCATTACTATTCGTTATCTCCATATTTCATGCTAAAGTATGTAAGAAAATTACCAACGAGGAAATATATGTTGTCGGGCCATATCTCAAAGCGGAAAAAAAGAAAATAATTTTGAAATGTACGGAGATGAATTATAAATGTTGCAGGATTATTTTGATTACCACTAAAGGTATAGCCATGCTGTATTAGCTGTCCCCAGGATCATGAAACAGGCTTAGACTAAGTCAAATTTCAATCTTCCATAAAATGTTTATTACTTGTGAACCGCAAGTCATAATTTGCATGCAACAGCAGTTTATTGATACAAAGTGAAAAATTTTGGACTGCTTCATTTCTTATTCATTTCAGCACAGTATACATTTTTTGACATAAGCTCAAAGTCTTTAGAGTTTCATTATTTTACTACTATATGTATGACTTTGAAAAAGAAGTTATCGTAAAAGAACATTTAAAGTTTAAAATACCTTATAAGAGGCAATAAAATGATGTTAAAAGTACAAATAGTATAAATTAATTGATTTTGCAACTTGAGAGATTGATAAACATTGCGGTAAAGTACATTTGTAGAATTTTCTGCTCGATGATTCGTGAGTCCTCGATTCTTCTCTTTTTCATTATTATTCGTTTCGTTTTTTTTTAGTTTTTGAAAACATCTGCCTGCAAAGTTTCACTTGAATGCGTGTTCTTAAATATATCTGCAATTTTTAAAAATAAATGTGAACAGATGTCTAATAATTAAAGTAAACGTAACATTTTGTGAAAACTGATCGGTGTTGGCTATTCAAAACCTATCGTCAAAGCTGTATCGAATGTTTCTTATATGCTCTTTACTTTTCTTCTTTCATTTTTCTTTTTTGTAGAAATAGTGTACACCACAATATTTACGTGTTGTCTGTAACAGATATACCTAGGGTAAGGTTTATTGAAAGTATTATTATATTAATCTTTTATCCTCAAATGGAAAGGAAGACCGAAAACCAAGGTCACAAAGTTATAATTGATATCTGTTTAAGAGTTGTAGCAATTAATTAAAGCGTTAATTACCGGTAATCAAATCCTAATCTATTAGTGATGTAGAGTAAAAACATAAAGATTCCTCCAAAGAAGGTCAACTTCGTTTCCAATGTGTTCTGTGCATGGAGTCAATTGGCCGTTTGCGTATTCCCATTAAAAGCTTGAGGACTATCCAAATGTACACCCCTATAGAAAAAATGCTTTCATTGACAATATGCGATGCCATGCTTGAATTTAGATATTTTTGCATAGGGAATCCTACAACAACGATGCCACAGTATTGAGGTAATTAGATTTATTCCCGCAATCAGATAACCTTCGTCCACTCGGCTTTGATCTTCTTGGAGACTCTGTATTTCTATTTCCTTATTTTGTTTTTATCACATCGTTTAGGGACAATGAGAATTTGAGCATTTATTTAGTGGATGCCACAGCAAATCAAAACAGGTGTAAGAGAGAAGCTTTGGCCTGCTAAAATGCAGTTTTTGTCGTTTTCTTCAATTTGATATCACATAGATATTTGTATCGTCATCAGAAAATCTTCTTTATTCATACTGAATTGTGCAAGACGCCTCTTGACAAAACAAGACAGGCCTTATGTTTTATGTGTCCGATATAAGAGATAAAGCCTATTTTGTTTTGTCAGTTGGCATCTTGCACAATTTGTGTATCAGTATGAACAAGTAAAATTGATGCAAAGCAAAGCATCAAATCGGCCGCAAACAAAATTTAACATTTCAAAAAGTACTTTCACAGTTAAGCATCCAAGGCAAGCACAAGATATTCAAAGCTGACAAAGGGATCATGTTTGTTTCGGACTATCCTCAAAGCAAAATAATAATAATAATAAATAACAAAAATAATTAAAAATAAATAAAGAAATAGAAATTTCAGTACATTTGTTCATTTAATTGATTCATCGATATAGTAAAGGCAGTGATAAATGATGAGAATTTTTTCTCATCAAAATGAAGATGTAGGCCTATTTATATTCAAATCTCAAGAGGAACCGGATCTTTGTCACGTGATGATGCCGATGATTTCTGCAGATAGGCCACTCTGCACAGCGCGGTGCAAATGAAGAAAAAATTATTCTTGTGTCATTCGCAGCTGTAACGATTTTCGTTCATATCTTACACACTCCCAGGTTGGGGAGTACCTATTGTAAACTCTTTTTATGTAATCATTAATTAAGAATTATCTGATAAGAAATGAAAATGAAATTGAAATATAATAACAACAATTAAAACTTTTAGTTTTTAGCAAAATTTTAAAATATTTTACTCATGATTTTATTCATGTTATCATTAAAGAATTATTTCACTGAAAAAATAAAGAAATAACGTCTCATTTCCCCAATGTGCACTTTCTAACACAACCACAAATAGATCAGCTGCTGCTGCGGCCGATAATGAAGAGGATTTTCTGACAAAAATAGAAATATTGATGTGGATGTTTACTGTAATGGATTTTAAAGATTTCAGGCAAGCTGTTTTTCAGTTGAGTTCGGTTGGAAATGACAAAATGCAACATCAGGTTTGAAATTGTTAAACGTTGATCAGTTTTCACAATAATATAACGACTATAATTCTTAGTCATCTGTTCACATTTTTTTAACAAAAGTCTTTAAAGCGACAGTACAGCTACAAAACGTGTGCTTTTTCATTCAAATTTACCCAATATATCCTTAAGAAATAAGATATAAAGTTGATGTAAGCAGATTGAGAAACAGAAATATTCTATCCTCGTACAAAATTAACGTAATTAGAATCTGCCGGAAAATCAAGGGTCGTACGAACTGGAGGAATCTTTGATCTGTTTATTTGTACCACGTGAATTCTAAAACGGCACGTGCCTACACTCTAGCATTACAATTATAATGAATATGAGGTAAAAGCAATTTTGAAAAGCAAATTATCATAACTTTATGATAAAATAATCTAAAATATTAATCATAAAGATTTTAGTCTGCTTTCAGGCGAATTTAACAGAATTAAAAGTACAAATGTTGACGTTTTGTGTATTGGGGTCCGAGAAAGGAAAAACAACCACATCATACGTTGTTGCGGCAAATGTCAAACAAAATATTTTTCTGCACAGTTAAAAATATTAGCACTTCAAATGGCAACAATGTTTATAAGTCATAGGTGTATTTTTGTATTGAGTTTACACTATTTTTTTTACTTGAAAGCGCTGGAAAAATGAGAAATGATAACAAGTATCAAGTCTTTAGCTAGTTCAGAGTTTAACTTATCAAAGAAATTTGTTATTGAAAATAATTGTACCTACATATATTCTTAAAGTAAGAAGCCAGTGTTACAGATTATGAATTTTTAACTTGTGTTATTGATTAAAAATTTAGCATAAAATGCTAAAGATAAAAGATATATATATATATATATATATATATATATATATATATATATATATATATATATATATATATATATATATATATATATATATATATATATATATATATATATATATATATATATATATATATATATCCATTATGCAGCAGAGCTGTATTCGGTGTCTTTCAGATTTTCATTGGTCCTATATGGGGTCCACTCGAGATGAATCACATTTGTGTAAAGATAATTGACACATCTGAGTTTCAGCGACTGACTGAAACAACTTGGAAGCTGTTGCTTTGTCTACCCTGGCTCCAAGACCATAAACTGAGAACAGAATAAAGTCAACATTTCAAATACCAGTATAACTTAGGGTTGAACCACTAAGGGCGATCAATTTCATAGGAATACATAGGAAAAATCTTTATTATTAAAATTCTTCATCTCAAGAACAGCAAAGCGATCGTTAATTATATCTATACTGAAGCATTTCCAGGTAGTGTTGATTCTAATTTGTTCAATTCATGACCCCGAAGGGTAGGATGGGGCCACAATGGCCAATAAAAGTTTTCATAAGAATTCTGAATATATAGGAAACATCTTTTAAAGTCCTTTTCTTGAGAATAGCAAAGCCATGATTATTCATATATGTTTGGAATGAAATATATGGAGATAACGAACAGTATTCAAGCTCAAAAGTCCATTAAACAATACCAAATAGGAGCAGAGCAAACACGGACCTCCAAACATCAGAGGTGGGATCAGGTGCCATGGAGGAGTGAGCATCCCCTGCCGATCAGTCACACCCGCCGTTTGCTCCTTGTGGAAGCATCTTCAGATTTAAGTTTGTTCACATCATGACACCTGGGGGAGGGTGGGGCTGAGGATGGGACAGGGACACAATGTAGGAATATATCGGGAAACAAGATGTGTTTGTGAAACACTGATGCTCCCGTATGGTAACTTATAGTAAAGGTTAAACTTTCTCAAATGCAAATCAAATATGCTGGTACCCAAAGTAAGGTCTTGTCTCGAAGAATATACCTGTGAAATATGCACCAACTGTTCAAAAGTAATAGCCAAGGTTAAAGTTTTCCAAAAGTAGGTGAAGCACCAAGGTCAAAGGGTCAAAGTTCTTGCTATCCAAAGGAAGGTCTTATCATATGGATTACATATGTGAATTATGAAAGCCCTAGTGTCAATTGTCCAAAGTTATGGCCAAGGTTAATGTTGGGTAAAATTTTGTGAAACTTGGCAACTGTCAAAAGATCAAATATGATGGTACCCAAAGAAAGGTCTTGTCACAAGGAATACACTTGAAATATGAAAACCATAGCTGAAACCAATCAAAAGTTATGGGCAAGGTTAAAGTTTTTGCTGACAGACAGCTAGACAGACAGATAGACGGACGGGCAGGACAAAAACTTTATGCCCCCTAATCTTCGATTACGGGGGCATAAAAATCTGCTGATAAAGAACAGAGGGGCCATAGTCAGGTGAGCGTTGTGGCTCATGGGCCTCTTGTTATCATTTCCTGTTCTCGAAATCTAAAGGCAATCTTAATAATAACACTTCATAAAGGGAGTACAGTGAGCTGCCGCGTATTTGAAAAGAAATGTTGTTTCAATGGTGTAATGTTACATCTCTTTTATGATGAACTAAAACATTCCTTGTAAACCAAGACTTACGTTTTTTAAAAATTGAAATTTAAGTAAGAACCAGTATGTATGTATTTCATCTATACATGTTCACATATATATTTAAAATAACTTTTTTTGTGTGGGTATTATTCACAAAAATAAAAGTAGCTGTCTGACTGAAAAAGGTAAATATTGTTATAATCATCAAGAATGTTTTCAATATATACATTACTAATATTTGTATTATTTTGATGATTTAATATAGTGCTCTTAAGGAAAAGTATTTGGGGGCTAGATTATTATAGATATATAATACCTTTAGTTGTATTTGATTTATTAATCTTTATTGTTATATAATTGTCGAGTTTATGGCATCTCAAGTCGATATTTTAAGTCAATCAAGAAAAAAATCTGTAAAATTATAAAGGATAACGCTGTTACATTCATGGCATACGGGTAAATGTTTCTCTTTAACCGACTTCCATGCGACTTTTTCTCATTAAAGCTGAACACGATCCGTATAAGGATTAGAGTTATCTTTGTCGGCCATATTAGTCTTTTCAGGACTGTCATTCTCCAGCCGCTATATAAGCCTCAGTTTTGTTCAGAGTTCAATGTATTTCGCTTCAGGGGGTTTAATTGAACAGAAATCTCTTTCAATGTCATTATGATAGACTTGAGCGCGACAAAAAAGGGACTTCTGTGTGCCTCTGCCACTTCAAGAAAAAAATATTTACCAAATATATTCGATATCAACTGCACAGGTCAATGCATTACAAAGTGAAATAAACACAAATGAACGTTGAGTGAAATAAAACGTAAACAAAAAGGCAATGTAAGATATAAATGCACTACACGCAGCTGCGACCAGGTAAAAGCAGTCAGGTATAACGAATGCGAAGGGTTTTTATACCACAGTGCTGATATGAGAGATAGGAAAACTAATATGGTGTATGCCTATTTACGAGTCGTGTTCAGCTTTAATGTCCAAAAAGCTTACGTAACCCTACCTCTTCATCTCGCGAGTTTAAAAGGAAAGGACAGGTTAAATACAGCTAAATCAAACTAGTTGGATGCTTTTGTGGACATACAACTGGAAACTAACACCAACATCACCAAAAAAGCATTCTAGTGACTAAAATATTATTCTAATGATATCAATTCTCCAAGAGAATAAGTGATTAATATTACTCTTACATTATTATTAACTAAAAAATTGTGACCCTTTACTGTGCATATAATTGGAAAGAGAAAATGTACTTGACGCAAAAACGTTTTTATTACTTCTTTGCCAAAAGTATCATGATTCTGCCAATTATAAAATTTAACAGGCCCGTAGGAAGCAATTTCAGTTTGGGGGGGGGGGGGGGGGACACAGCTATACATTTTCAGTGGAGGGGGCACTATCAACTACCAAAAATTCCTAGATAAGCAAAAAAAAAAATAAAAAAAAAAAAAAAAAATAAAAATAAAAAAAAAATAAATAAATAAATAAAAAAAAAGGTCATCACACGTTTTTACTGAGGGGGCACAAGCATATAGTAGAGCTCTATGTTTTCTATAGTAAACTATATATCGGCACAAAATTATGGGGGGGGGGGGGGTGGCACGGCCCCCCGTTTCCTACAGCCATGTTTAAGATCTCGGATACACATTAAGTAGAAAATGAAGTTAATAATAAAATCACTTTTTTTTATTATGTATTAATTATATAAACTATAAAAACAAATGTGTGAGCATAATAACACATGTTGAATTAAGTAATAAAAATAAAATTGGAATCAGAATGGTCATTAAAAATGGTCTTTAGCATGAGTCTTCCATTCTTCATCGGGTGTCACAAGCGGTCATGTGAGGTCTTTTGTAAATAAACATTTAAAAAATCTTTGTTTAGAAATATGCTAAAGTTATGTATGATTTTTCATGAAAATATGTTGTGAGTGCCTTATCTTAAAATTTTTAGGAAAAAAATGACACAAATCAACTACCTAAAGTGGGTTAAATTCATGCTGTATAATATTTCTTCATTGTATGCTGATACTTTATCATTAGATGCAGATATTTCTTCTATATATTTTGATAATGTGTCTTTTAATACTGATACTTCTTAATCAAATGATGATACTTTAACATTATGTACTGTTACTTAATCATTAGGTGCTGATACCCTGTCTCTATATACTGATACTTCTTTATGATATAATGATACTTTGACATTTTGAGCTTTTTTTTTTCATTATATTCCGAAACTTCTTCATTGTATGCTGAATCTTTGTCTTTATGCTGGAATTCCTTCAATGTTCGCTGATAGTTTATCTTTTTATTCTGATACTAATTCTTTTAATGCTGATAGTTTGATTTTTTATGCTGATACTTTTGTTATACACGGACACTTACATAGCACGATAAAGATATCCTTCACTGCTCAATGGCCCAGTGCACCGCGTAAAAGCCCTTCACCGGTATATGGTGACGTCTCTATATACGTCCGAAAAATACTCGAACAGGACGTAAAACAACAAACCAATCAATCATTCAATTTTTCTTACAATGAGGAAACACCATATCAAGACAAACTATCAGCATATCAGCACATAATGAAAGAGTATATCGACATACAATGAAAAATGATATGAAGCATATGAAGACAAAGTAAGAGCATATGAAGACAAAGTATGAGCATATAAAGACAAAGTATCAGCATAAATCGAAGAATTATCATCACACTGTGACACAGCATGAATATTATCCACCTTACGCAATTGAGGCATTCCATGAAAAATATTCAGAATGAAAAATTACTTCGTTGGAAATAGAACTAATTTTCCTCTGGTTATCAAGCATATATATATGTAATACGAAACCGAAAAATCCAGTAACATGAACTATCGGATTTTCAAAACCGTGTTAAAATTAAAATAATAATAATAAGGATGTGCGTTTTATGGAATCTAGAATAGATTGATTTGTGATACTCTGCTCTCATTAGAATGACAGTTGTGTAACTGTTTCTCTTTATAGAAATTTATAGAAATTTGAAACATATTTTATTTAAAAGAATGATTTTCATTCCCGTATGAATAAATTATTATTCATAGATATATAATAATGCATGTCTAGCCAGTAAAAGATTAATATAAAGATGCTTGAGTTTCTGATTGACAATATCTATGTGTTTTTTGGACACCAGGTCTTCCAACAATCTATTGGAATTCCCATGGGTACCAATTGCGCCCCGTTATTAGCAGACCTTTTTTTTGTATTCATATGAGACAGAATTTGTCCAAAATCTTATCCGTGAAAAGAAGAAAACACTTGTTGTGGCCTTCAACTCAACATTTAGATAGATCGACGACGTATTGTCAATTAACAATGGTTATTTCCATTCTTATGTCGATACGATATATCCTGGTGAGCTTGAGATAAAAGATACCACAGAGTCTGACACATCTGTTTCATATTTGGATATTTTACTTGAAAAAGACGTTAATGGTAATCTAACAACCAAGCTTTATGATCAACGTGATGACTTTAACTTTTCAATCGTCAACTTCCCTTACTTATGCAGCAATATACCTTCATCGCCTGCATGCGGTGTTTATATCTCTCAGTTGATTCGATACGCAAGAGCATGCTCTACGTATGTATTTTTTTTTCTAAAACGAGGTAAATTATTCACAAACAAGTTGATGAAACAAGAATATCAGCAGTCTCGTTTAAAGTCATCATTTCGTAAGTTCTATGGTCGATACATACGACCTTGTCAGCAAATTTCAATTTATCATTGAGTCAAATGCTGTCTGACGTTTTTCATACTAATTGTTAGGCCATTATTTACACACTGAATTTTCGACGGATTTTTCCGTTATTTCCCGATCATGACAAGGAGCACGGCGGGTGTGACTGGTCGGCAGGGGATGCTTACTCCTCCATGGCACCTGATCCCACCTCTGATGTTTTGGAGGTCCGTGTTTGCTCTGCTCCTATTTTGTATTGTTTAATGGACTTTTGAGCTTGAATACTGTTCGTTATCTCCATATATTTCATAATATAACGTTACTGCAATCAGAAATAAAGATCTGTTGGTAAAGTCTAAGGCTCATATTTTTTATGCAATTAAAGTTTAAATAAACCTAGATAAAATAAATCAAAAAATATCAATCTATATTGTTTCAAATATTTATCTCCAAAATTGATGTGTGTTGGGCGGTCAATATGTCTTACAGTCCCCTTTGTAATAAGAATCATATTACGTGTATTATCAATAATTTAAATGTCATTTTACTTCACGGATTGAGACTCGAGTTAAGTTTGCAAACCCTACTTATTCAAGAGGCATTATGTAGGACTATATATTTTGCTTGAAGAAAACATGACTGATACGTAACAAGGAACTGAAAAAAGGTGAAAATTTCTCAGCTGCAATTGAAACAGCTAAGCATTAGCTTCTAAGATGTGTAGGGTCACTTAATTCATCATATAAATATTTGATTTTAATCAACGTATATAAGATTTTTTGGTAGAAAGAAGTGAGGAGATTTTTTGTTGTAAATTTAAATCAAACTGGTTTCTCACAGCACATATATACAGTTGACGGTATTTTGATATTTTTAAAGGTTTTTAATGATTTGAATAGCTGTGCTTTATTGATGGGAAATAGAGCACTCATTATTGATTTCTATGTTTTTAAGCGGACGTCCTAACTTGAAGATTGTAAATTGTAAGTATATACACTGTAAAACTTTGATTCACCATTTGTCGAATGTCGAATTTCTTTTATCAGCTAGCGCTTGATTCTTTTGTGTAATAATACTATCTGACTGTAGTCACAAAATCTCAAAGTAATATTGCCTAATGACCATAAAACCATACTTATAGACGCAATATCAAATTCATTATAACAATAACTGCCTTAGCTTTAGAAATAACATCATGCATAGTGTAAAATGTTGATTCGTCGATCGATACAAATGGACAGAAGGTAGACTGGTTGACAGGATAACACCATATAATGTATCATTTTACGTCAAATCTTTATTTTAGTTATTGAAAATGTTAAAAGTTTGACTGGTATACACCTACATGCATACTTTAAAGATATTTTATACAACAAAATCGGGTATTCTTTTACACCATCCTAATCGGTATGTAGCAAAAAGGAATGAATTTTTCATGTTCAACACTTCGATTTAAAATCTGAGTAATAATCATTGCACTTGCTCTCTCTTAAAAGCCATCAGTATATGTTTTTTTCAGTCATCAAAAAACATGCAAGAACCAACAACTTCAGAGGAAACAGGGACACTTCCAGGAAAAGTATGTACACTTCATTTACGAGAGCAAATAAAAAATCGGAATATTAAATCATTTTCATTGCCTATTAAAACCCATAAAAAAAATTTAAGACTTTTTTTTTAATGTTTAATCGTTTATTTTTAGTAAAATTTAAAACGCATGTTAATAATCAGTATTTGTTCTCTGATATTTTAAAGAATTACGACTGTATTGACTTGTTTCAGTAATGAAAAAAAAAACCCACAAGTGAAAAACCCAACAGTTTCAAGTAAGACAGGGAAATGTTCACGAAATCAACCGAAATATGTCAAACTAGAGTGCAAAGAAAGCGGGGGACAATGTTTTCTTTGTCACTTTTAAAACCTATGAAAAACAAATTGATTAATATATATCTGACTGTTGTATCTCAGGGACTCGTTACAATGATTTACAGTGCTTTATTGTCCCCCGCTTTCACTGAAAGTGGGGGATATTAATTTGGGTCTGTCTGTCCTTCCGTCCGTCTGTCTGTATTTCTGTCTGTCTGTAACACTTTAGTTTCCGCGCGATATTTCGAGAACCCTTTGAGCTTTCGCAATGAAATTTTGCATAGCAACTCCCTATGGCCTAAAAAAGAGCCCTATCGATTTTGAGGTCAAAAGGTCAAAGGTCAAGGTCATTAATTCATAAATTCTGTCTGTTTTAACACTTTCGTTTCCGCGCGATATCTCGAGATTCCTTTGAGCTTTTGCAATGAAATTTTACATAACTCCCTGTGGCCTAAGGAAGACCCCTGTTGATTTTGAGGTCAAAAGTTCAAAGTTCAAGGTCATAAATTCATACATTTCGTCTGTGTATAACACTTTTGTTTCCGGGCGATATCTGAAGAAGCTTTTGAGATTTTGCAATGAAATTTTATACCATGCCTCCCTAGGGCCTCTCTCGCCCCTCTCAAAGTGTCCCGCCCCGTTTTTTTTTATTATTATTATTTATTGTATTAAAAGTCGCTTGACATTTTTTTTGGACAGGGGCATGTGGAGAGTTATTACATATAATACAGGTTGTCGGCGGACTTTATATTCTAATTACATCTATTAGAACTGTTTAGTAAAGGCTAAATTAGACACCATGTACATGTGTATTGTGTAAAATTTTGACAACATCGAACGAACGTGAATATAAACATTATATGTGTCCTAATGTTTGCATTTAATTCGTTGTATAATCAAGTGCCTCCGTTGTCCAGGGGTATGTCTCTCGCTTAGCATGTGAGAGGTGCCGGGTTCAAATCCCGGACGATCCTTTTTTTTTTTGGAATTTTTTTTTTGGATTTACTAAATGATAGTATTCAGCATGTGAAATGAAAAAGTTATGACGTCTGGTGTGTACAAACTCATAAAATCATTATTACAGTGTGATAAATATTCTATATAAAAAGAATCTTCTATACACATATTAAAAAATAAGCAATCAAATCTTTATATCCATATTGGCATTTTTTATTTGCTTCAGTATATACATATATACATTTAATAATTCTACAAATCCAGGGGGGGGGGGTCCGACCCCCCCCCCCCCCGAACTGCGCATGCTCTTCTTTTTTCCGTAAGCGGGGGACACAAATTCTCTGAATTAGCTTATGTTGTGTTTTAATATTAAGCACTTTACTTAATAGTTTTGATGGTGGGTTCCGATCTTGTAGAGTAGGCTTTCCCCTATACCCCCCCCCCCCGGAAAACTAGCTCTAGAGTAGGATTTCCCCCGAAAATAAGCTCTAGAGTAGGAAATCCTACGGAAAATGACGCTTAGAGTAGGATTTCCTCTACGTAAATTCCACATCCGATTCAATTTTCCGTAGGGAGGATCCTACTCTGTGTAATAATTGTAGAGTGCGATTTCCACCAGAGCCAATTTTCCCACCAACAAGATATCTTGGCTGTATATGGGAGGGGGAGGGGGCAACACATTGTTACAAGTGGCTCTTCTTCAAAACTGCGACCAGTCCATTGAAATATAAGAAGTATGAAAATTGAAAATCTTAAATTTCTCAGTAATCATTCAACCAATTCTGTTGAACATTAAAATCTTATTCTTTTGTTCAAGTCAAACTGGTTTTTGAAAAAAAATATTGGTATAATGTGATTTTTAACTGTAATCAATGTTTTTACCATTGATGTGTATGTGTCTCTCCAAGATTCTGGTGTTTAGATATCTAAAATATCTGCCTTTGGAACTAAAAAATGGGTTATTTATTTTATAAATTTCTTTTCGTATTTTGTGTCCTGTACCTGTGTTTTGTGTCTGTAGACTACTGAACATTTATATAATCGTGTAAATTATTTCAGTATGGAAGGTGTAATAAACTCGGTGTTTATCAAAAACAAAGATATACAAACAAAAATAAATTAAAAAATTACAGAATACGTTATTATGCAAGCTGCTCAAGCTATTGTCGGTGATAATACCGTATGTGTCCAGCTGGACCGGAGCCTGTGGCATGTATACCTATCCGACGAATCAAGCAGACAACAGCTAGTATTACAAGGCATTGATCTGAACAATCAGAATTTCAACGTCTATGACAAAAACCCCTTTCTGCTTGACCCCCCCCCCCCAAGAGACCAGATTATCTCCTCAAGGTATCTGGCCTTCCCCGATCTATGTTAAATAGTGATGTGGAAAACATGTTAACAAAGCTGGGTGCCAAAAGCTTAAAAGTGCGGTTGAGTTTGAGAGAATCCGCAACCCCATTACAGGTCAGTTGACGTCGGTGCATCGTTTACATATAACCACTACCTGACAAAAAACTCCTCCCTTCGGAAGAGCTACTGCTCTGGTCGACAGTGTAGCATCTATCATTTTGGGCTACCTAAAGTTAGCCAAAAAAATGCCGTATCTGCTGGAGTGATCATCACTTCACACACGAGTGCAAAGAGGGGCCCAAATGTAAGGTCACAAGCCGGGGGATGAAGATTGTCCTAAATATCATAAACAACATCCTCATTCTGTTTCAATGATTTGTGGAAATGAGAACGTTTTGTCGAATTTTTTCCCCTGTTTTCTCGAAGTGTTTGGTGAAAATTTTCAGTCGGCAGAACATGCATTCCAATGTGCTAATGCGCTACAATCTGGTGATTTGCTGGCAGCCGATAAAATAAGAGAAGCTGAAACAGCGCTGGACGCAAAACACATTGGAAACCTTATCACCTCATCAGACGTCTGGATCTCAGACAAAGTAAAGACAATGGAGGAGATAATACGATGCAAAGCAGACCAGGTGGAGAATTTTCGAAGCGTCTTGGAATCCTCTAAAAACTCCACGACATTTGTAGAAGCTACATATGACGATTTCTGTGGCACTGGCCTAAACCTTTCTGAAACTAGTCACACCAAAGCCAATGCATGGCCCGGCAAAAATACATATGGTCAGATCATGGCTCGTGTCGCTGCTGACTATAGAAAAAAAAAACTAAACACAAACAACTGTCTGGTTCAAGGCCTGTGTCTACCTCTAACACGCGTCAAAAAGACATTGGTGCGATGTTACAGGCAGCGAAAATACAAGGCAAGCTAATTCAGAGAATTTGTGTCCCCTGCTTAAGGAAAAAAGAAGAGCATGCACAGATCTAAAAGGGGGGATCGGCTCCCCTGGATTTGTAGAATTTCTCAATTGTATACATGTGTACACGCCAGACTTCCTAACTTCATTTCATATGTTGAATACTATCATTTATCATTTAGTTAATCAAAAAAAAAAAAATTTCAAAAAAAGAAATACGAGATCGTTCGGGATTTGAACCCGGGACCTCTTACATGCTAAGCAACAATCATACCCCATAGACCAACGAGGCACTTGGTTCTAGAACAAATTAAATGCAAACATAAGGTCACATATACATGTTTATATTCAAGTTCGATATAGTCAAAATTTTACAAAATAATTTAGCCTTTAAGTTTACTAAACAGTTCTTATAGATGTAATTAGAATATAAAGTCCGCCGACAACCTGTAATATATGTTATAACTCTCAACATGCTCTTGTGCTAAAAATAGTGCAATAAAAGTGCAGTACAATAAAAAAAACGGGATCGGACACTTTGAAAGGAGCGAGAGAGGCCATGGAGAGTTACGAAGTAAAATTTCATTGCAAAAGCTCAAAAGCTCCTTGAGATATCGCCCGGAAATGAAAGTGTTACACACAGACAGAATGTATGAATTTACGACCTTGACCTTTGGCCTTTTGACTACAAAAGGCCACAGGGAGTTGCTATGTAAAATTTCATTGCAAAAGCTCAAAGGCTTCTCGAGATATTGCGCGGAAACGAAAGTGTTAAAACAGAGTTTATGACCTTGACCTTTGACATTTTGACCTCAAAATCAATAAGGTTCTTCCTTGGGCCATAGGGAGTTCTTGTGTAAAATTTTATTGCAAATCAAAGGCTTCTCGAGATATCGCGCGGAAACGAAAGTGTTACAGACAGACAGAAATATAGACGGACAGACGACGGACGGACAGACAGACCAAAATTAATATCCCCCACTTTCAGTGAAAGCGGGGGACAATAACCCAGTCATTGGTGGTAAATAGTGTTCTTTCTACTTTTCATTTCTAATGCAAAATACTTTGTCTTTTTGACTAATTACAGAATATGTAAAAACTGAAATGTATTACCCTTAACGTAAGGGGACTTAATTCACATGTAAAAAAAGAAACACAATATCAATGGTTACATGATTGTAATATCGATAATGCAATGTTACAAGAAACATTATTGTGAGGAAAATCTCTTTAAATCAGATTCTAGATGGCATGGGGTTTCATTACATAGTGTTTCAGAATCGATGCACAGGAGGGGCGTGTCAATTCTTTTTCATAATTTTTTTTTTTACATGTGATGTTATAAATGTCCATAGATCACAAAACGGTAGAAAAAAAATTGGTTTATATTAAAACTAATGATTCAATATATACTATTGTTAATGTATATGCGCCAAATAACGAAAATTGTCGCTCAGATTTAAATTTTTTTTTACAAAAGTAGATATGCCAATGTTCTCTTAATGATCAAAATACTTTAGCAGGATCGAGATTTTAACACTACTTTAACCAAGGAAGATAGACACTGTTCACAACAAGCTATAAGTGATAAAAGCTCCAAAACATTTGGCAGATTTACTAAAATATTTAAATATTTAAATTAAACTGAACTCTGGGAAATATCTAAACCAAATAAATGTGGTTTTAATTGGTGTGATGGACAAGGAAATCCATAGAGTCGCATAGACTTTGTTTTTATATCAAATTTTTCGAATTAGAAATAGCTTATATTCTTACTAAAAAGGCACCAAGATTTAAGTATACAGAACAATAGATTTTCGGATCATTTGGCTATAAGATATGATTTTATACTTGCTGGAGAAAAAAGAGGACGAGGATACTGGAAATTAATTACTTCTTTATTAACAGATCCAAGCTATATAACTAAACTGAGAGAACTATTAAAAGAAAAAAAGGAGGAAATTAATAATATTATAGATGATCAATTGAAATGGGAAAAAATAAAAACAATTGTTAAACGTTTTCAATACATTTTTCGCAACAAAAAAGTTTTGATACGAAACAACGTATAAAGTCCATAGAAGAAGAAATCGAAAAATTAGAAGTAATAGATTTCAACATTACTGATATGAAAAGAAAAAAAACAGTTGGAAGCAGAGAGAGATGATATATATAATGATATTACAAAAGGTGCATTTATACGATCAAATTCAATTTGGATTGAAAAAGGCGAAAAGAACACGCCTTATTTTCTAAGATCAGAACGACAAACACAAGCAACAATGCATGAAAAAAAACTGAAAATAATGAAATAGTTAATCAAACTGGCGATATAATGAATAAATTATGTGAATTCTACGGAAATCTGTATGCAAGTAACAATATTTCTGAAAATGTTATAAATAAATACTTAAATGATATCAAGTATGCTTCACTATCAGATAAGAAAGACAACTCTGCGACGAATTTCCTACCCTCACAGAATGTGAACAGGCTATAAAACAAATAAAAATTAACAAATCCCCTGGCTCAGATGGATCGCCCATTGAATTTTATAAAATATTTTGGAATGATATAAAAGATTATTATTATAATTCACTAAAGCAGACTTTTGAAAAAAACGAAATGCCCTTTACACAAAGATTATCAATAATTTCTTTAATTTACAAAAAAGGCGAAAAACTGACCTACTTAATTATAGAGCCATCATCCTAACAAATTGTGATTATAAAATACTCGCTTTTGTCTTCGTAAAAAGATTACAAAAGGTTATAGATAAGCTCATCAGTAAAGATCAAACAGCATACATCAAAGGTAGATTTATTGGCACGAATGCACGACTTCTGTTAGATTTATTTGAAAACTGTGAATCCACTAATTAAGAAGGTATTTTGTTATTTTTAGACTTTCAAAAAGCATTTGACTCCATAAACTGGACTTTTCTATTTAAAACTAGAAAAATTTAATTTTGGACAACAGTTCCTTAAATAGATAAAAATCCTTTATGAAAATCCAGTCTTTCGCATTAAAAATAATGGTTGGATCTCTGGTCTCAGTGAAAAAGGGAATAAGACAAGGATGTCAGATTTCAGCAATTATTTTTCTTTTTGTTGTAGAAATTATGTCATTAAAGATTAAGTCCTCTAAGAATATGAATGGTTTCACGAATGAATTTATGGACACAGAGATAAAACTTTTACAACATGCAGACGATGCATCCTTGCCATTATTAAATAAAATATCGATGGAAAACGCTATAAGTTTAATAAATAATTTCAGTCAAGCATCAGGCATACAATTGAATATCGAAAAAACAGAGGTGATCCTACTTGGACCTCCTATAAACAGATATAAAACTTTGAGGTCAAAATTACGAATGTGCCAGTTAGGTCTCTAGGACTTTTTATAGGCCACAACCGTGAAAAGTGCTATGAAAAAAAATAGAAAGATAGCGTTAACAATTTAGGAAAAAAAACCTTAGAATTTGGAAAAATAGAAAACTTACTCTCTTTGGCAAATGTACTATCATAAATACCCTTGCTCTTACACAGCTATATTATAGTGCTACTATACTGAATTATCCTAATGATGAAACTTTGAAGACCATTCAAAAATTGATTTTTAATTTTCTTTTGGGAAAACGGGATAGAATTAAAAGAAATACTTTAATTGGTAACATTAACGAAGGCGGAATTGGAGTTGTCGATTTGGAAAGTGAATTTAAAGCATTGAGAGCTACGTGGATAAAGCGGTTAATAAGCAACAATTAATTCTACGATTAAAACTTTTTTTTAATCATGTTTAAGCAAACAATCACTGGAACTTAAATATCTACTAAAGACTAGCGGCACAAATATTCAAGATCTGCAAAATGCCTTTAAAAAACTACCAACTTTCTACTGTGAAGTTTTATGTGCCTTTAATGAATGTAAACAGAAAGAAAATATTCATACACCAGCAGATAAAGTGTTGTCACAACCTATTTGGTTTAATAGCAACTTTCAACTTAAAAAAAACGGTCCTTATTTTATTCAAATTGGACAACAGCAGGAATTTTATACGTAAAAGATCTTTTCGACCGCGAAGGGAAATTCCATGACATTGAACATTTCCTTAATGTACTAAAAAATAAGTCTAATTATTTATCCGAATACTATTTGCTTTTACTGGTATCCACAATCTTTTCTAAAGGTTTAAAAAAAATTCTTTGCTGAAAAGAATTTTTTTAAACCTTTAGAAAAGATTGTGGATACCAGTAAAAGCAAATACATCAACATAAAAAATATGAATGTCTACTTTTTGCGAAACAAAGAGAAAACATCGTTAGATAAGCTAAGATGTAAAATGTTCTAAAACGCTTTCATTGCGCAAAGATTTATTAAACCATACTCTGAAAATATATGGACTAAACTTTTGAATGTTAACTTTGAAGAACACAGAGCGCAAATATACATGTATGCATCAAAAATTATAACTGTTAAGGATAAACAACTTGCCGAATTTAATTATAAACTTCTACATCATTTACTAAATAAGAACAAATCTGTGAGTGTCTGGAACAAAAACGTATCAAAATTATGCAAAAAAAATGTAATGTATTAGAAGATATTAAACATTTAATCTTTGATTGTAAAAATGTAAAACAAATATGGGATGCGGCCCGAATTATTAGTAATACAAATATTCAGTGGAAACATGTTGTAATTGGTAATTTATTTTCTTGAAAATCGAAATACATAGATTCTTAACCTTTTAATATCATATGTGGGTTTATATATATATATATATATATATATATATATATATATATATATATATATATATATATATATATATATATATATATATATATATATATATATATATATATATATAAAGTTAAATGAAATTAAGGTTTGCTGATAAATTAGAAACCGATACAGAGGTTAAAATATATGTTTAAAGCAATTTATTGTATTACCATGAAATCTATAGAAAAATGGAAAATAGATTAAATATGAAAGACTTCTATGAATTGTCTCTGTATTTGTGACTGATTCCTATATTATACTATTGTCACATTATCAGTATTATTTTAACTACAGGAGGGGCTATGTCCTCCTGTAGTACTGCCATAGGGGGTTGAGTATGGACTTTCGTTTGATGTGAGGTGAGACCCCTTTATGGCAATTTAAATCAAAAACAAATTATATTTCTATGTATGTCTGGCAAAAAGATTTATGTACATATTATCACCACTTCTACTTCTCTTGTTATTGTCTTCTTTTCAAAGCTTTGTTAATATATTGTGATATGAATTCAAACAATGTAAAACCTATTGTCAAGAATGTAGAATGCAAATAAAGGAGTAATAAAAAAAGAAAGAAAGAGGGGAAATCTGGCTCTAGTGAGAGATTTCCGTTCGGGGGAAATCCTACTCTGGGGTACAGATTCTGGAGGGAAGACTGGCTTTGAGAGAAATCCTATTCTACAACACTGGCAGTCTTTTAAGCTAATATCAACACTTTTCGTAAGTTTCGAAACTTGGATATGAATGCATTCTGTTGCAAACCCCAACTGTTGATGTTAGTAGCACGTGATTTGGGTGTACAAATTGGGTATAGTGACTTACATTAATTACTTAAACGCCAAAAGAGAAATTGTTTTTTACTGCATTTTTTGTTTTTCAGATTTTTAATGATCCTATATGGGGTCCAATAAAGATGAATCCTGTCTGCGTCAAGATTATCGACACTCCTGAGTTTCAAAGACTGAGATTTATAAAACAACTTGGAGGCTGTTCATTTGTTTATCCTGGTGCATGCCATACAAGATTTGAGCACTCCATTGGGTATCTCTCTCTCTCTCTCTCTCTCTCTCTCTCTCTCTCTCTCTCTCTCTCTCGAATATTCAATATATAACAGCTGGATATGGAATTCATTCTTCTCTCACTAGCGATATAAATTCCAAATCCAACAAAAAATCGAAATGTCTGTTTAAGCCCTAGTACTTTTTCCTTTGACAACAATCTGTAAAAAAAAAAAAAAAGAGGCACTTTTAATCCGTATCAGAATGGATTATTTACTTCACTTTTGAATATGTCATTTTTAATCAATACATATCTTACAGAACATCGTATCTAGCAGGACTTCTTGTTCGAACTCTCAAGGATAACATGTCTACAGATCCAGGATATAAAAATATTAATAAAAATATATCTATAGACGAAAAAGATATCCTGTGTGTAGAGATTGCTGGGCTTTGCCACGATTTAGGTAGGATTGCAAATATATATATATATATATATATATATATATATATATATATATATATATATATATATATATATATATATATATATATGCTTCCTTCTACAGTATCCCATTTTCACTCTGGATCGGACAAAATTTCACCACGCATCGGACTATGTAACATAGTATAACATATGGTTTGGTATAATCAAGGTGTTATTAGGCCTACATGTGTATATGTTACTGACTAAAATGGGATTATTTATTTTATTTCAGTCTTTCAATCATGCCAATCAAAACGAATATCATAATTTACATGAATCTGTAAATCCTCTCGTCCAAAAACAAAAAATCTTGAGATTAAATTTGTAATTTTTTCTTAATTTTTCCTAGATCCTTCATCGATTTTCAAGTCTGACCTTCTTTCACAAAAGCATAATTTTCCACCTATAATTCTTTTTAAATAAGAAACTTCGATGTTGATTTGTCACTATTTTAAAGTGTAGGTGGACCTGTTTCAGATCTTATTTCTCAATGTTTAGCTAAATGATTCAATTCTAATTACTAGTAGTTTATATGAATTTAATTTAAGCATATTCAGAATGTCCGATGCAAAGTGCACTCTGACTTTGTTCGATCCATGGTTAAAATGACGATTTATTCTTCTTTTCCTTGTACTTCGAGAAAATCGGCATTATCCGTCCAAAAATGTTGAAATACTTAAAACTACTGTTTTGCAACTTATCTGCACAAAAATACACCCATTTATAAAGTAATTATCTCTTCTTATCCCTTAAAGAAAGAGGTCCGATCCATTGTGAATTGTGAATGCATTCTAATATTATTTTATATGAATATTCAATTTTGATTCATAATTGTCCGATTAGTGATGGATATAACTTTAAAAAGACGTGTGATACTTAAATATGTGTAACTGCTTCTGCTTATATTATCTATACATAATTACGAATCAAAGGTTGGTCATGCAAATTAGTACAATTTAGGTTAAAAGAGTATCGTTAGCATCAACACATTTAGGCACACCTGTCTTTGTAGGCCATGGGGCGTTCTCACACTTGTTTGACTCGATGTTTATCCCTAGGATGAAAGGAAATTCAGAATGGAAGGTCAGTGTATTTTATTTGGAAATATATTGATGAATGCTATGTTTCTCAAACTATATCGTATTGAATACTCTCTAGCACTGCATGTTTTATTACAGCATGAGGAGGCTTCCATAAAGATGCTTGATAGGATCTTCGACCAAAACATGCATGGTCTTCAAGAATATGCAAAAATATATGGACTTGACCTGAAGAAAAATTCAAAAGATAGGCAATTTATTAAGGACTTAATAAAGGGGGTACATTATTAACATATCAAATATAAGATAATATATTTTTTCAACTTTTTATATAATATAATTTTTTTGTGTTTGGAAAAATCGTTAAAGTTTGATGTTGCACAATGCACATAAGAGGATAGGAGGTTCTGCAGTACATCTTGAAGTATAAATATAATATTTTAACAATAGATATAAGATATTGGTTATTTTATTTTTTTCCACCAATGTCTACAATTACCACTAGTAATTAATTTGACACCCAGTGGAACAGATGGACCAGCTATTTTTATAAATCTAGCTCTCTCTCCCTCTTACTCTCATGTTATTCCATACATGCACAATTTTGTAAAAGAAGGAAAAAAAATTAATGGATTAAAATTATTCTTGTATATAATTGTCGCTGAAAATGAAATAATTTTAAAAAAATCAGATGACCATCAAAGCATGTATATAATGTTAATTCTTTTATTTGTAGATTTATGCATCTATAGTTATTTCTTTCTGTAGAGATTAGTTTTATTTTATAAATCATTATGAATCAATAATGATGAAACTTTTTTTTTTCATCAGAAGAAGATCAAAAACAAAATAGATGCAAAAAAGGACTTTCTTTACGAGGTAATTTCCAGAAAAATATTCCTTTGCTGCAGTTTATCAATTTTTGGGAAACAATGATACAATTTTAAATTGCAGATAGTTGCCAATGAAGAGAATAAAATTGACGTAGATAAATGGGATTACTTCTCTAGAGACTGTCATATGCTGGGTCTGACGCATAACTTTCAGATTATGCGGAGCATAATGCTGGCTCGTGTCATCAAAAAGAAGCGGGGACATCGCATTTCGTTTCCCGGAACGGCGAGTCTCTTATGCAAGACTATTATTTGTGGCAGTGTTTGAAACTTTTAAACTTTTCTATTTCTCATAAAAACATCATGTTTTATAATCATTCAAGAATTATGAACAACCTTTAAGATTACGATTCGGATCAAATGAATTTGTCTTTAAATGATATGTTTACCACGAATTGATAAATTTAATACAATCATATTTATTTTTCTTTTAGGAATATATGAACATTTTCGATATGTACCACGCACGCTATACCCTCCATCGCCGTGCTTACCAACATCCGGTCAACAAAGCTGTTGAACTAATGTTAGTTGTGTATGAGTGTAATTGCTGGAAGTGTACTTTGTAAAATGAAAAATTAGCAACACAATATTGAATTGAAAGAGAATTGATAAATTTTTCAAATTCCAAATTTGGCAAAATTGAGCTGAACACAGGCTGACTGCCTTTTCCATCAGTAATGTCATTGTTAAAAAATGTCAATTCTAAGCAGTATATATGAAAAAGGATGATGTATCGTGAAATTTTCGTTATATGAATTACATGTATCTATAAATTTGTCAGTAATAGGGTTATTACATACCATTGACTCATTGTAACCTAGCATTTATTTCACTTTCCATATCTTTCTGATCAGCAATTACCCCAATAATTTCAGGATGGCATCTATTTTTTGCCCACACTCAAAGAATGTTCCGCTATCATTTCTCAAAATTTTTCGAATGCGTTTAAAAGGAATAATTTTTCTACTCTATTCGTCTAAAGCTTAAAAAAAAAAACAACACCCATGAAATTTTTAATATAATATATGTATGTTAATTGCTCACATATTGTTGAAATAGGCTTTTCTTTTTATTCTACCCAAAAGTTGTAATTGCTGTGTTTGTCGCTAAATTTTATTTTTAGATAGTAGTAAACAGGGTTTATTTCAGTTTTTTGGTCTTATTGTGATGAATACTATGTCATATGTCATTGTAATGCATCACGGGGTATATTGATATTTTAGTAGTGTGATTTTTAAGTCCTGTTTCTTGTTTATTGTTGTATTATATGTAATATTATTACGTAGTCGGAAAATAGCTCTTCAGAGCTAATGTTTTCTGTTTGATTTACCCGACTTTAAGTAAATATTATCTTATCTTATCTAAAGACAAATTCTTCAACAAGAAATTTTGTTTTTGTTTTTTTTTAAGGTTATATCATTTTAGAATACTTCTTTATTCTAAACAGGATTACCGATGCACTGGTTTTGGCTGATGACAATCTAACGTACAGCTATAGGTATGTTTGTTTACATATTTTATAAAAACATGAAAAGAAAAAAAATATATTTTGAGTGCGATTTGCTGTTTTACACCGATTTCTTTTTTATTTCAGAGAGGGGGCCAAACAGAAAAAAACGAAATTGTCAAACACCATTAAAAACATGGAGGCATATAGTCTCGTCACAGACGGCGTCATTGATCGTATTCGTTTTGAAAACTTCAAAAATAAAAAATTCAAGGAGGCTAAAGAGATAATTGATAGAATTTTCAGACGTGATTTGTATAAATGTGGTGTGGAGAGAAGAGTTACAAGGGTAGAGGTATGCCATTAATGTTTCTTCGACAAAAACTAATACAATTCATTTTCTTTCTGGCCTACTTTAGAGCACAATGGATTATGAATGCTTTGAAATTCTAATTTGGTAAATGAGATTTTTCTAAGAACTCATTCCGATCGATTAATTGGTTTAATGATAGACATTTGCATTCATGAAACAAGACACTGTAGACTTACTTAAGTCTAAATGTTTTTTTTTTTTTTTTGTGCTCTCTTTAATAGTTTTTGATAATGTCAAACATAGATGTTTGATAACATTTAACTATGGTAGAGAGCAGAAGAAACAATTCAAAAATGAACAAAAAAAACATCATAGAGAATTGAGCAAGTCTAAGGACACTGAATTGCTCGTTGAATGCATTGTTGTCAACTCCTTGACTGAATATGTTCCTATTTGCTTTATATCAAAATGAGATGTTTACGTGCCAAGTTTATTATAAATGATATATCGTGTGAATGACATTTTACAATGAAAATATGTGGGTCCGAAGTCCCAAAAACTAGAAAATGGTATATACATATATTGCATATGTTTTTATCCAGTTAAAGATTTTGATTACAGTCCAACACACACCCCCACCCACACACACAAACGCATACACACACAGCACTCTTCCAGCTTATCATCATTTAAGTAAAAGTGGGAACAACATATATATATATATATATATATATATATATATATATATATATATATATATATATATATATATATATATATATATATATATATATATATATTCCTTTTTAGGAGGTGAAGTGTAGCGAAAGCAGAGAAAATAAAGATAAAATTAAGAAATGGGATATCCATATAGAGGTAGAGTGAAAAGGTTTTCCGTTGTCAATGGAAAAACACTTTGTTCCTCTTTCTGTGTCATACATGCAGGCTATTGTACAGTATATGCATCCTTTTATTCATTTCTCAGTTAATGGTTATTTTCGTGATATCTCGTATAAATATTTTAAAAAATTCAATTGATTCTGAAAAAAGATTTCTGATTTTACTAGCCAACAGTCTTCAGTTACGGAGCTGAAAGAAAAAACCCTATGGGCAAAGTTTGCTTTAGTAGCGCCGGTAAAACAGTGAAACCAACTGACGAGGTATTATTGTAGGAAATTTGAAGTTTATCATACAATACCCTATTCATTGGTTAAAGAACAAGGTGCAGTTTCAATAAAAATCTGGCCCTGTATTTTTCTTAAATATGAAAGTGATGTAAGAAAATAAAGCTGTAACAACATACAAATCATTTTTTTCATATGTCCTTCTAAACGCTAATTGTGACGTCGTGAACTTGTAAATATTTCCACGATGGTCCTCTTACATGCCACATTCTTTCATGATTTATCACATTCATCTACTCAACTCATGTTTAAGCCAATTTCATAACTTAAAAAAAAACATTAAAATTTTAGGGCACAATAAACTCCAAAACGTACAGCCTTCTTTCCTTGCATCAATGTGTGTGTCGCATGTTGTTTTTTTTACTCCAGAAAAAGTACATATTTTTCTCCATTCAGAAATCTGCCATGCTCCCTAGGGTCTTCAAGGAAACTTACTTACGCATGTACTGGAAAAAATCCTCTCTAAAAGGGAATGGATTCAAAGACGCAAAGGACTGGTTCACAAATCTAAAAGGTGGGCCTTCAATTTAAAAATAAATGAAAAGTACATATATATGTTGATAGAAAATATTTAGTAACATTAGATATAAAGGCATGTGAATATTATGTATTCAACAAGAAATGTTAGAGGTTATTTCCATTTGAAATAGTCTCGTTATATTTTCATCACATATCATGGACAAAACCACTGAGATTTACTTAAATATTTATAAGTACTTATTGTAGTTTATAGGGAAAAAAAATATTAACAAGCAAATTCAAAGAATTGTGTCCCCCCGCTTTCGGTGTCCTAGTGGATGGGATGCTATTATTTATTTATGGCATATTGTAATTGTCTTGTTTGTGTGCCCTGTCTTATCTGTGCATCATACAGAAATGACATTAAATTATTGAATTAATAACAGTTATGGCAAAGATTTGTCAAATGTAAATGCCATATCTTCTCACAATCAAAAGTTATCAGCAATATTAAAGTTTTTGAAAATTAGGTCAAACTTGAAGATCAAAGTCATACTGTCAAATATCATAGCACATTCAGACATTTTGACACAGGTAATGTACTTGTCAAACATGAAGGTCAAGGGGTAAAAATCATAACGTCCTCGGAAACATCATGTCACAGGTAATGCACATGTCAGATATGAAAGCCTTATCTTTTCTTAATCAAAAGTTATAAACAAATATATTTTTTTGAAAAGTAGGTCAAACTTCAAGGTCAAGGTCACGAAGTCAAAAACCATAGAATATTTTAAAGGTCTTGTTACAGGTGATGTGCATATGTAATATGAAAGCCCTATTTTTCTCATTCAAAAGTTATGACCAATTTAAAGCAATGCTATCATTTTTGAAAAATAGGTACAGCTTCAATCTAATTAAAATTAGATGTTCCGAATCCGCTACCGCTTCTCAAACATCTAACAACATTCCATTCCAGGTCACGTCAGAGAGACCTTTCGATTATGATTGACTGATTGATTGTATATTGTCTTACGTCCCATTCGAGAATTTTTCACTCATATAGAGACGTCACCATATACCGGTGAAGGGCTTCAAATTTTGACCTATACTCGGCACTCAGGGCCATTGAGCAGTGAGGGATCTTTATCGTGCCAACGCCTGCCGTGACACGGGGCCTCGGTTTTTAAGGTCTCATCCGAGGGACCCGCAACTTTCACTTCAAAGTGCCGAGCGCATGGCGAAGGAACAGTTGCTACCTATTTTTTATCGACTTAGGTCTGTCGCGGCCGAGATTCGAACGCATGACCTCCCGATCACGGAGCGAGCGCTCTACCGACTGAGCTACCGTGAACGATTCTTTCGATTATGAATAAACATAAAAATTTTGGCTAATCAGATTCAAGCTTCTGTATACGATTCTAAAATTAGTTGCATTGCTACATCATAACATTGATGCTCAGTAGACTGTCTTACGTTGAATTAAAGTAATTTTGGTATAAATTGAACGTATAGTCCGCCAATCTGGCATTCTTACCTGATTAACGCAAACGAAAATGCACAAACTATGCATATACGTCTAGTATGAAACCCGCACGTCACATTCATATATAAAACGGTCTTTACCATGCATATTTTGTTTACTACGAAACTCCTCGGGCGTTTAGGTTTGGCAGTAAAAAAAGAAACGCATCCGAACTATAAGCCAAGATTTCGGAGACGGCGATTTCATTGGGAAATCGAAATGTCGTTCTGACGTTACCCCGAATGGGGTGTTGTTAGATGTTTGAGAAGCGGTAGCGGATTCGGAACATCTTATTTTAATTAGGGGTCAAAAATCATGGTATACTTGAAAAGGTCTTGTCACAGGTAATGCACATTTCAAATATAAAAGCCCTATCTCTTCTCAATCAAAAGTTATAAGCAAAGATAAAATTTTTGAAAAGTAGGTCAAACTTCAAGGTCAAGGGGTCAAAAAGCATAGTATATTTGGAAAAGGCTTGTCAAAGGTAATACACATGTCTAATATAAAAGCCGTGTCTTTTCTCATTCAAAAGTTGTGACCAATTTAAAGTAATGTTAAAATTTTGAAAAGTAGGTCAAACCTCAAGGTCAGGGGGTCAAAAATCATAGTACATTTGGAAAGGTCTTGTCACACGTAATGTACATATGAAATATGAAAAAACCTATCTCTTCTCATTCAAAAGTTTTGACCAATGTTAAAGTTTTTGTGAGAGACGGACAGACTGACAGACGAATGAGCGCAAAAGCGAGGGACAATTAGGATTTATATTTGTCTTGTTGTAAATCATTTCAATTTTAATTTTGTGTTTATTATAGGCAAATATCTCTGTGTGTAAATAATTTTAATTTAAATTGTGTTTATTTTGGGCTAAGTATTCTTAATCGATTTTTTTTTGTTGTGTTTGTTGCATGTTTGTATTTTTAATAATAAAACTTTTGTAAATTATTAACCAAATACTCATATTTCTGTCTTTTAAACAGAATTCGAATTGGCTGGAAAGCGATATATCTTTCACAAACCAAAGCAAAAGAAAGTCCGGCGACTTGGCGCCAAGAACAAAGGAACTAGGCGTGCACCGCGCCACCGATAAAGGGGCAAAACTAGCTCAGTATAGTTTGGTTTCTTGTGCAACATTTTACACGTCATGTATTGTCCTGAGCAGGAGTTAAACATTTTTCATGGTCAAGAATAGTTAAAATACGCCCAAAACTTGACGGTAGGAAAATTACCTGTGTGATTTTCTTCATCGTCCTTTACATCCTGTGGTATGTAGGGCAGCAACCTGACTGAGCAAAATATTTATTATCTTTATTAAAGGGTTTGGCAGCTCTCAGGGTTTTATAAAGTATGTGATAATTTGAATTCGAAAAAATGAGAGTCTTTGTGAAATTTTATTTTTGTCACTGAATTGTTGATTTTTAGTGGGCTTTTCAGTCATGTTTCAGCGATCATCTAAACACCTGTTCAGGAAGATTCAGCAACCCTTCCCTCTGTTAACATTCAGAAACCTTTAAGTCATGTTGTAGTGATCTTTCAGACGAGTATATTGCAACTGTTTATGGAAGTTTCAGTTGCGCTTTAGTCAACATTCACTGTCACTTTAATTTATTGACTTGTTTTTTGTTTTACAAGACAATTTTTGAAGAAAAGTTTCAACGCCCGCCTTAAGTAAACTTTTACTTTACTTTCTCTTAAACATGCATGACCGAAATAAAGCTTAAGTGCATAACTTTTGATACTTAAACTTTATAAACCTTATATAGGAAATTAAATAATGAATTGTTAACATCACAAGAGAGCAATATGAAACAAAATTTTGAATGGTACATTCACTGATAACTCGTAGAATTTTTTTGAAACTAATAGGAGGAAATAGTCTGAAATTCTTTTAATAGATCTCAAGGTAATGAAAAGGTTACTTAAACTGAAATAAACTGCCACGTAACTGAAAGCCCTTTGGAGAATTGCAGAATACTGTAGATTCCTTATTTTACGCGAGTACTTTATATCGCAAAATGGCCCTTATGCGTCAAATCGCGAGAACAATAATTCGCAAGTGGACGTTTGATCAAGAGATTTTACATACATTTCAGCACCATAAAAATAAAAGCGAGTAATTTTATTTTGCGAGTGGTGCTTCTCGCGAAATTACGCGATAATTAATTCCTTGTGTATATTTGGGAATCCACAGTTGACAGTGAATTTAACTGAAACTTGACTGAATAGACACTGAATGTTACTAATTGGTAACTGTTTTATGACTGGGTGGTAACTGATATGTGACTGAAGTGTAGATGAAATATGACTGAATGAACAATAAAATATGACTGGATGGTTCAGTTTGTGAATTTTCTTTCGAGACTACCACGCTAACCATTAGACTACACAAGCCCTGATGAATAGTGGCATTTAAATCATGTTTGTGATATGACCCTTGACTTATTGGACTTCAAGTATTTCTCGAAAAGATGCAAATGTTAATTATATCATAAAAGTATATTTTTAAGGCATAGTGGGTCTTTGCTCCATATTTTTGTTAACCAAAAAAATGTATATTTTTATGCAAACTTTGAGGATTAACTTTACAAAAAATGAAGCGAAGACCCACTCATATCGAAAAATAGTGTTATAGTATGAGAAAATGACTCTTTTTGCCCTCTTTAGTTTGTGTATAACATTTCAGAAGCAAATAATTTCAATCTTTGTGAGATTTTTGCAAATTGTAGAGATTTTACATAAAGTATATTTTAATGTTAGATGAAATATCAAGGAAACATTTGATAATATTGAGATTTAATTTTTAACCTTAATGTTTATCACACTATAGGCTTTTCACTCGTCATGTTCACCCATCTTTTTTATAACATTTTCATCATTAATTGAAATTAACCCATGTTTTATGTATGCAATATGTGGTAGATATTTGTTTATACTAGAACAGTTTATTAATTGTTGACAAATAAATCATTGTTGGTTGTTTGACTGCCTCTAAAGATGTAGCAATTTTTGTTTATTAAATTTATGCCTTTCTTTATATTTATATTGCAAATAATATATCCTAAATTACTTTATAAGACCCCAGAGGGTCATGATTTGAACAAATTTGAGTCTACACTACCTGACGATGCTTCCATATAAATATGTCTAGCCATAGCTTTGCTGTTATTGAGGAAATTTTGAAAGATTTTTCCTATGTATCCCCATGTAAAAATTTTGATCGGCCATTATGGCCCAACCCTTACTTTGGGGATCATGATTTGAACAAAATTTAATCTATACTATCTGAGGATGCTTCAATATTAATATGTCTAATCATGGCTTTGTTGTTCCCGAGAAGAAGATTTTAAAGTTTTTCTCCTATATGTACCTATGTAAAACTTAAATCACCTAATGTGACCCCCCCCCCCCGGGGGGTCATGATTTAAACAAACTCGTTTCAACATTACCCGACGATGCTTCTATATAAATATGACTTATCATCATGATGGCTTTGCTATTCATAAGTAGAAAAAAATTTAAAGATTTTTTAATTATGTATTCTTAAGTAAAACTTTAATCGCCTATTTGGCCAATTACAAACCTATCTCAGGGGTCATGCCATTAACAATCTTGTGAAACTTTCACAAAAGTTTAATTTTTTCTGGCCCAGTGGCTATTGAGAAGAGTTTTAAAAGGTGCCATTCAATTTTCACAAATTCTGAACGATCTCCCCTTCAAAGAGAGCGTCACGCTCTCTTTAAAGTGGAAATCGTTTGAACATTTTATTTGAACTTGAATCCCCTTCACTAAAGGATATGCTTTTGGCAAGTTTGGTTGAAATTGGCCCACTGATTCTTGAGAAGAAGTTGAAAATGTGAAAAGTTTATATACGACACATGACAGACGGACGCTGGACATCCTTCGATCAGAAAAGGTTTCTTGAGTCTTTGGCTCGTGTGATCTAATAAAATGTGAGTGAAAGCAGAAGACGCTGCACATTGTCTTCTGTTTTATTCAGGTACTTAGTCATGTGGTATTAGGCAGGATATTCACCTTTTGATATTTTTTCTACAGCGATCTAATAATACCCTTTTTGATATTAGATCACTGTCAAGACCAAAAAAAAAAAAAAAAAAAAAAAGTTGATAAATGCCTACAAATATGTGCTGGAAAATAACATTATTAAATTATTAAATCTCAATAATTTTTTTTAATTATATCAATAAATGTAATAATTTTGAAACTGAATAATATTTTTTTTTTGTCGAATTAAATTTTCAGAAATAATTGACTTACATGTAAGACAGACTAATATATAATACGTCAGCGAAAGCCTCTTAAATTATGTACGAGTTGAAATAAATTTTAAAATCAGGAGAAAAGTTGTTCTATTGTTTGTTTATTTAAGTCCCTTTGGAGAATTTTTCATTCATATTGGGACGCCATCGGGCTGCAAATTTAAATTTGTATTATTATATTAAAACCTACATGTATACTCGGCACAGAGGACCATTGAGCAGTGAGGATCTTTTTTGTGCCAACACCTACTGCGACACGGGACCTCATCCGAAGGACCGGTCTCCACATCAGTGGGATTCGACCCTGCAACGTACGGGTCAACTCCTTATTCCGCGACTCAAGAGCAAACGCTGTAACCATTCTGCCATGCGGGCGACGAAAAGTTGTGTTATGTGACACATTTAAAAAAAAACCGAAATCTTGAAGTACGCACTTTCTTAAATTTGGAATAGGTTTATGGAAGATCAAGGGCCTTTTAAGATTTTATTTTAAGCTTTGGTTAGATAGATCTCTGATATTGGAACCATTTTGCATTCTTATAGTTTACCTACAAAAATGGTCAAAATTTGTTTGGATATATGTATCATTTGTATGTATGTATGTATTTCACTATTTCTTCATTGTATATTAATATCTCTTATTTTGATTTCCACATGGCCAAGAACTGTAATTCTGTAATTGACTTCAGACGGATTCTTTGCTTTTTATATTTTATTAGTATCTTGCTGAAATTTTCCCGTGCTTTACAAGGTCAAGAAATCTAACAAAATAATTTTTTGAGATATTCCACCAAATATTAATTAAAAGTATTTTTAAGCTCCTTGCAGTCACATGAATATGGCTTTCAACTTAAAATTAGCAAAACTAACTCTCGGTTAATCTATACAGGTAACTGTGGAAATAAGACATACAATCCTCGCTATGAAATTTGTTGTGGCGGTGTTGTCAATTCCAAAGGCTCTGGCAAAAGATGCTGTGGAAGCAAAGTGTATAGCTAACGCTATCAAATTTGTTGTGGCGGTGTTGTCAATTCCAAAGGCTCTGGCAAAAGATGCTGTGGAAGCAAAGCGTACAAATTTGTTGTAGCGGGCAGATTAATTCTAAAGCTGATGGCAAAAAAATGCTGTGGAAGGAGGGCATACAACCCTAGCTATCAAAATTGCTGCTATGGAGTTGACACAGTCAAGCGGAACTATACATCAGTATAGCACATTTTCTTCGAGGACAAGAATTATTCACTCTGTGTTACTCTTACAGATTATTCTCGATGCGATGAGCATGAGCTGCGATGGATTTCTATTGTATATATATTTCTTGGAATTTAATCAGTTTAGTGTATTATATTGCTTTTATTCCGTCTGTCATACTAGTTCTCTGCGTTATTGCGCTGGAAAGTATACGTACTACTTGTAGTATCTGAACTTAAAAAATATATGTAGATTACAAACATGCACCGAGTTATGGTTATGGCACGCCGATTGCATCAAAATTATTTTCTGCACAAACGATCACGATATTATACACGAGCTTGATGAAAAATATACACGAGTAAACTAAAAATACACGTATCGGTAAAAATTGCACATGGTTTGAAAGATTTTAACATAAACATAACGAAAAATACACGAATCCGAAATTTTTTACACGATTAAGGGGTATGAAATACACAAACGAAAATCAGAAGTTGCACGAGCAGAGGAAACTAAAAATTACACAATTTTACTGCGCATACAGCTGCGCATATCATTATTATGCACATAGAATATTCATTGTGTTCTTGGTATTCTGTACTCTTTATCTCTTCATAAATGCTGGATGTAATCGAGAGAAAATGGCGTTGACGATGACATGCATATTACTTTGCTTTTTTATTTCTTTGCTAAAACTCGATCCGATTTCTAGCTAATGCCAATCGAACGAATAAAGTATTTTTGTGATCTGTGTGAGAAAATTTTAAAGCTGATACTATACCGAGATCCTAGCCAAAATATGTACGTATTATATGATGCCGGACATAAATTGTGACAAGAAAGGAATCGCATGTTTGTGCTATAATGCGGGGAAAAAAGTTCCATTGCATATGATGCACTCGACTCCGAACTAAAACAACTGTACTCAACAAAGATTGCATTGAAGTCTATGGAGCAATTTTAAAAAAAAACAAAAATTCAAATACATGTAATAAGAATATCAATGAATATTGTAGTGAAAAAATGCACTAAAACACATTAGAAATAGAATGACAATTGAAAATGATTTTTTTACCAGGTAAGATTTTTAAAATTGATTTTTTTTTTATGAATTATGAGGGAGATAACTCTTACCAAAATCCAAGGTCATAAATTAGGACACATCCCACCCTTACATGCTAATAGTAATAAATGGGAATTATGTCTAAATATACTGAGTATTCAACACCTACACATCTGTTATGTATTCAATTTCATTAAATTTTTTGTTATTAGGATGGAATACCTTAACTTCTTTATTGCTAATTCATCATCTAACTTCTTCAGCTACCTTCTGAATGCCTGACTTTCCCAAAGCTTTGCCTTATATACCCTTAAGCTAATCCATTTCATGGGTTGTCAGGTCATTCCACTATTTGAAGTCTTCAATGCGTTTTACTCCAATGCCCCTTAGCAATTACACCTATATATTCATATGTAAACCTTGACCCACTGTTGTGGCCCCGCCCTATCCCCAGGGGTCAGCATTTGAACAAACTTGAATCTACACTACCTGAGGATACTTCTGTATTAATATGTTTAATAATGGCTTAGCTGTTCTTGAGAAGAAAATTTTTAAAGATATTTCCTATATATTCCTATGGTAAACTTTGACCCCCTCCACACTGTTGTGGCCCTGCCCTATTCCCAGGGGTTATGATTGGAACTTTAATCTTCACTACCTGAGGATACTGATATATTAATATGTCTAATAATGGCTTTGCTGTTCTTGAAAAGAAGATTTTTAAAGATATTCCCTATATATTCCTATGGTAAACTTTGTCCCCCCTGTTGTAGCCCTGCAACACCCCAAGGGGCCATGGTTGGAACAAATTTGAAAATACACTTCCTGAAAATACTTCTGTAATTGTATGACTATTCATGGCTTTGCTGTTCTTGAGAAGTAGATTTTTAAAGACATTTCTTATATATTCCTATGGTAAAATTTGACCCCTCTGTTGTGGCCCTGCCCTACCCCCGGGGGTCATGATATGAACAAATTTGAATCAAGAGTATTTAATGAAGCTTTCATATACGTTTCGTCTATTCTTGCCCAGGTGTTCTTGAGAAGAAGATTTTTAAATGATGCCACCAAATTTTCACGAATTCTTAATTATCTCCTCTTGAAAGAGGGCGCGGCAACTTGAATCCTCTTCACCCAAGGATGCTTTGTGGCAAGTTTGGTTGAAAATGGCCCAGTGGTTCTTGAGAAGAAGTCGAAAATGTGAAAAGTTTACAGACGACAGACGGACTCCGGACACTCTTTAATCAGAAAAGCTCACTTGAGCCTTCGGATCAGGTGAGCTAAAAGGCAAACTGTGAGGAGGGAGGGGGGATGTTGGGTTGGTTTTGACAAAAATGATCGGGTGTGGGTTTTGGAAAAAGTATTTGCCTACCCAAGTTGGCATCTAATTTGTTTTTAAGTTCATCAAAAACGCTATGCACTAAAATAATAATAATTGTTGTTCTGAAAATAAATTTAAAAA